CAAATTAAAATAAAATATATAATATAAAAATATATTAAAAAACAAAAATATAATATATAAAAATATAATAATAAATAAAAATAAAATATATGATATTAAAAATATATTTAAGAGATGATATTACATAAAAATTAATAATAAAAAATATAAATATATTTAAAATTATAATAATAAATGAAAATAAAATATATGACATTAAAAATATATTTAAGAGATGATATTATATAAAAATTAATAATAAAAAATATAAATATATTAAATTTGTATTTTACTAACTAGGGGTAATTTTGAAAATTAACATTACATTCTCAGTAAAGTACTTATAAACCAAACGCTGTAATGTTATCTTTTTTATATTTTAATCATTATTTTACTTGTATACCAAACACTGTAACGTTATGTTCTCTGCAATCACATTACATTGATCGTGACTGATTTTTTGCTGCCAAGCTAATATGCGGCTCTCTAAATGGGGCATTCTGGGCTGCCTACAGCTCTTGTACCTAGCCCTTTGGCAACGCCGGTAGGCTGAGCCCAAATCCAAACTGCATCCAAGGGGGAAGAAAGCCTCCAAATCACTTGCCTCGAGCTTTTAGATATATGTATTTTGTTCCAGTCAAGTATAGGAGTATATGATTTTGTTGTTGTAAACAGGCTCGCTGTGAGAGGATAGTCAGAGAGATGATTGCGAGTCGTGCTAAGGCTAGTATTTGTCATCATTTAATAACAATTTTATTCATTTGGCTAAGCGCTTGACCTTTTACATGCTGATATATAACAGTTAGAATATGATAATTCACTACCCTGTGAGTGTTGAGTGACAAGATTAATCCTCCAAATATGTACTATATATATCTTAATTTACTAGTTTCTTACAATTGCAGTACGTGTGAAAAAAGAAGTATCTAAATCTAAAATGGCATGAAGCATAAGTACTTCTTTCGAAGTTTTTTCATTCCGCCAAAAGCAGCTCTCTTTCTTCCACCTGCAGATGCTGCCATGCGGTTATCGGATGACGATGATGGACCTTCACCCCTTTGATCCCCTTTGGCATGCTTTGAAGCTGAAATTGGTACAGAGCCAGTAGTTTTGAAGGATTCGTCACTACCCGAATTGCTTTCCTCAACGCTAACCACAGATCCTGTTAAGCAATCAAAGGTCAATGCTTTGGCATACCCCATGGGAAAAATCCATCATAGCAATAAATGGAAGTTAAGTCAAGGATGTAATGGGTCGGTCTTGCAAGGTTAAATTTCAATCTCACTAAAGAACTAGTATAGTAGGCTGCAGTTGATGCTAGATGCAGCATTCTTTAAAATTGTCTTGCATCCTTTGCCACATGTTCAGGAACTTATGTTTTAATGATGTTTCAACTCATTGGGATATTGAGAAAAGTTGATCATGGATCAGAAAATATGAAAGTTTTAACCAGTCCTGTTATCAGGCCGGTTCTAGAGAAATAAATTCACAAAGAATTTCAGATGCAAGAGCAAGTTCACTTCCATCTTCAGGAATTGGAACAGCTGTTTGTTTCTAAGGAAATGTAAGAAAATCTCAAATGATGAAGAACAAAGAAGATGGAAAACCAATGAGCTGGACAAACTAAGAAAGTTGGAATTACCTAAAGTGGCTGGAACTATAACCACCTCGTCCAATTTGTTGGATGCAGTGACATTAAGCTTTTTACCTTCTTCCTTCTGTTCTATAACTTGGTCCTCAATGTCTTGCAATAAAGCCACTGCATCAAAGCATTCACCTGAAGAGAGGCTCAAGGCGCTTGAATTATCTGAGCTTGAAGAAGGTGATGCTGGGCTATCAAGATCGTCCAATTCCAGAAAGTTCTCTCTTAAAAACTCATCAATTTGACCTCCAGGAAAAGAATCCATTTCATTGATGTTCTCTCCATGATGCTCTGGAACTGGAAGTCTCCCTGCAACAGCATCATGCTTGTTCACCTACAAATAATGGCTAGAACTCAAACGCATAAACAGAACAACACCCAAATTTAATTATTGAAAATATGACACAGAACAAAAACTAATCCTCTTAGATTCTCCCCCCATACACATAGTGTTAATGAGATGCGCATGGATTTTCTAGATCTAGTTGTCTAGTGGTACCTTATTAATCTTACAAGACATCCTATTACTCAAATAAACAAATCTGTTTTATTTCCAGATACCAGCAGTGACAGAAAATATTTTGAAGTTTAGGAACTTCCAGACTGCACAAGTATTTGGACTGTAACCAACTTAAGAAGAAGTTTAGCTAAAGTATAAATGATACATAACGATTGAAATCTAGAATTTTCCTGCTCTGTGAGAAGGATAATCCTAATCAAAGCACAGATTTCATTCCCTAGGGGCATCTTGCTGATATTTTAGGTAATTCTAAAGGTGACTTGTATGCACAATAAGCTGCTCATCAAGTGTCAACATGGTGCCAGGGAGGATATGACTAGTATGTATATTGTCAAATGATTATAAAGTGAAATTGAACCTAATTTATCCCAAAAGGATTAAAAAAGAAAGAAAAGAAAAAGATAGTGAACCAAAACTGACCAAAGAAAATCACAGATGCAGACACTGACATACCTCAGGGTTGCTCAAGGAAGCTATTCTTGTACTGCTGTTAGCATCGAGAACAGGAGGTTGTGCTAAACGATTCCTTTCAGCCTCAACACCAGCACTAGACACTGTTTGCTGCATCTCATGAAAAAGAGAAACTCTACACATCGAGCTCTTTTCCTGCATATCATTCAACCAAACTGGCTAATGAGTGGTTGGTTCAGTTGAGAGTTGAAATAAAACAAATATGTAAACGAGTAAGCTTGTAGGACTTTCAGTTTCAGTAGAGTACCTTTTTCTCATTGTCATCACTTAGTATCTTCTGTGTTATGCTGAAAACTTGCATCACATACTCAGTTTTACACTCATAAGGGACATGACCCTCATAGTATTCATGAATGGTTTTCCAACCAATAATATCAGAGTTTGAGAACACAACACGGGCCTCCTGTTTAGTCGTCCAGAAGCCATGTTCCACATCAATGCTGTCGTTTGAGCTAATCAAGAACCAAATATTCTCTGCATGTTGGCAATTAAGTGCCATGAGATTTATAACTCTAGAAAACTATAATATTCTTGCATAATAGTTGGTGCACAAAATGTTATCTAACAGGCATTATGTCAGACATGCTTGACATATGGCTTTTCAAAGCCAAATTAACACACTATATCAATGATATAGCTTTGCATATCCCATCAGAATTCAACTTTCTTGTAGAATTACCTTTTGATGCCTTTTGACGCTTTCTGAAGAAAAAAATTAACAACAAATTCAATCCTTATTGTTTCATTTTACATGCCCACTTATGCATCAGAACTCAACTTTCTTGTAGAATTACCCTTTGATGCTTTCTGAAGAAAAAAATTAACAACAAATTCAATCCTTATTGTTTCATTTTACATGCCCACTCTAGTGCATAACCTCAATATTGAAGAACTCTTCCATGACTTGACGATTAGATGAGTACTAATGATAATATGACTTCATGGTAATATTGAAAATAAGCTTAGAAAGAGTCAGAGAAGATACAGCCTTTGGCCCTAATCAAAGAAAAAGTCTATTGAACATACATCTTTTCTATAGAAGGGGGAATAAAAATAAGAGTGTATGCAACAATATTGAACATACATCTTGTTTACAGTGGGAGAGAAACAGACTTACAATCCTGTCATGACATAATTGAAACGAAATCTTATTCATTATGCAGGAGCGATATTATATCAAATTAGTACGGTTCAGGAAGAAAAGTGATCAATTGTTCTTGATGATGCATTATGTTAGAATATAGCAAAAATCAGGGTAATTATTGATAAGTTATGGCAAAAATAATGACCCTTACTTGGTATATATTGGGGCGGATATTTGTAAGGATTTTCATCTATAACATTGCTTGGTAGAGGAGATCCACTAGTCAATTTGCTAAACCAGATAAAGAACTCCTCATCGGTGCAGTTGAAATCAATATTCGCAGGTGGGGAAGCCGCTGGAGTGGCCATGGTGATCTGATTTCAGGCAACAACAAACAACCTCATGAAAAAATATTTTATCTGGTCCAGCTGGAAAAGGAAGGCCTTTCAAGCTGGTGGATATCAAGTTTCTGAAACACTTTAAAAGGGGAAACCATAAAACCTAGGAAATGATGCATTCAGTGCAGAAATAGAAGCATCAGCCAACATGATCCATTTGGTTGACTAGCAATGAACAATAAATTGAAGAAAACATAGGTCCCTGAATGGACCAACCTGCCACTTAATGTCAACTATAAGCAACCACTCCAATTACCTGTTCCTTTTAAGTCCAGGAACACATTGAAACACTAAAATTCATCCAGGGAGTAATCAATATATGTCACACTAATTTTAATTTAAGGCAAAGTTTTTAAATTTGTCATGAAGATTTTTTTTTTTATCCGAAGATTGTAGCTTTCAGAGTAAACGCAGTCAAACAAAGACCAAAAAACTGAACCAACAAAAGAAAAAAAAAAGGAAGGATAAGGAGAAAAGGGTACCTCACTTTCCGGTAGAGTTGAGTGCCGGATTCCCGCGTTCAATCTGTTACACGAAATCAAAATTCAAAGAAAACCAAATGATCAGCTGCAAGCTATGATTACTTATTTTCTTAGTTTCCAAGGAAGCGAAGGAAAAAAACAAAGAAAAGAAAAGAAACCAAAACAATCAGAGTCTTTCAGCTCTCGGGTCCGCTGACTCATTGACTCGGGGTGACATTAACGTCCACTGCTAACCAACATAACAAAAAGGGGCAAAGCCTTTCGCTTTCCTTCCTTCATTAAGACTATAGTTATCTTTTCTCTTTTACTTTCTTTTCCCACCAACCAAATAGAGGATCCTTAACTGGTTTTAACCATTTCAGTAGATTTCATATAAACAAATTATATTTATATCTATCCAGTGACAGCTCTGATGCTCATTACTAAACCAAAAGACGAAGAAGAAGAAAACAGAAGCAAATTAAAAGAATTTGTTTACCAGTGACGAGCCAACGGAGAGAGTGAGTCCCTGTTTTCGTTTCGAACAACGTTAGTATATTACCCCAACAACGTCAATGGCCCTTTACGTCCATAAAAGAATGCCCAGTAACCTAGGTTAAGCATGCCGGGATCAGAGGGTAACACGTGGGGGTTTCCCGTTGGATTAAAGCAAACCCTGGTTTGTCCAAGTGGCTTTCCCTTGGTTAATGTTTTGTCTGTTTTTCCAAGATGAAATTTCCATTTTCCCTTCCTTTAAGACTCGCGGTAGGCCCGATTATTTCACCAGAGAAAATGGGGTGGAAAGGGCAAAAAGGGAAAATCGCATATGCCTACGTCGTTAAGTTAAGCGAAGGGAATGAAAGGAAATGGAGTAGTCAAAATCTCGGTCACCTTGTGATAAGATTACCAACACTTTAAAAATGAAGGGTCATGATTTCATAAAGTACGGCTATTCCAGAATAGTCCAGGGGATTCTAGTTCTTATTTAATGTTAAATTTTATGTTTCTCTTACCACTGCTTTGATTGGATCAGTTTTTCCGACAACCTGCGGTATAGAAGTAATAAGTGTTACATCATGTTCAGTGCAAAAAGTGCTTAGAGTTTCATGAATATCTCCGCCTGTGGTGCAAAGGACTTTTCGGCCTACATATGGAAATGATGGTTAAATGAACAATTAATTATTGGATTTTTTATTAAAGGAAAAAAAGGTGTTACTTATAAGATACGTAGACAGTTGAATTTTCCTTGTCTTTTTCCTTTTACTTGAAATCAAACCTCAGCTTGTCTGTCCCTTTTTCATATTTTCTAATCAATTTTATGTCATATCATTATATTTTCATTACATTATTTATTTATATTGTTAGGACTTAAAATCCAAAATTTAATAATTAAACTTTTTATTGATGAAACACGAAATTGTAGTCTACTGGTTCTCTCACCAAACAAGTTTTGCACTTACAATTGGACTGGGAACCCCGAAATCTTATGTCCAAGAAAAAGCCTATCCTCAGACAATATCTACCAACTTACTAGTAAAAGATTCCACATGACTAGATGCAACTGGTCATCATCTAGTTTTGCTATATATGGATAAGTTTCTAAAGAGAGAGACTCCCATATGTACCTAAACCAATCAAATTCAACGATATAAACCCAAATTTTGTTAGGCAGACACAAAAGCTTAATAAATTCGTCAGGTGGTTAGCAAATTTACAATGAAGGCAAACGTGAGGAAAATTTTATCAGGGTGACGTTTTGTCGGCATGGAATTAAAACAAAAACAAAAACAGTACTACACCAAGAAATTCTTATGATTAAATTCGAGGTCAAACAGGGTACTGGCAAACGGGTTTGGTGCATGCATTAGCCAGGTGAACAGGGTAATGATGATTCGCAAATACTTCGATGAAATCGTAGCCAACCCCGCCTAGAATATCTAACGAAAGTTTCCATTTTTATTAAATTTTTAATGTAACCCATTATTAAAAAATTTGACATTGCAATTTTTCATGCTCAAATTAAGGTTTATTAGTATGAAAAACGAATTTGAAAAATGATGAACCCGGTTCAAAAGGTTGAGTTGCAAGGTCACCGGTTATGGACGGACCCACATTAGAGGGAGTGGCATCACGTGACACTGTTTTTCAAAATGTTTTAAGTTTTACATTATTTATGTAAGATTTAGAATAATTAATACTGTAACAAATTTATTATATTTTTACAATGTTATAGAGTGTGGGGTTAAAAACTCATAGTAAATCGCTCTTTTAAAATAACTCATATAGATTTCAATTGTAAATAATTTTTAATT